GAGGCAAAAAGAAGGCAGTACTATATTCGGACAGCTGTACCCGCCCAAACCGGAATCGATACATGCTCACCATGTTATGGTATGCTTGCTCAAAGCTAAAATTTGATGTAATAGATCAAAAATTTCTTCAAACTGGACATACATTCAACGAGGGTGACAGTGAACACTCTGCTATAGAAAACTCCAGTAAACATGTTGATGTATTTTCCCCAACGCACTGGGGTGTTGTCATCCAAGGTTCTTCACATCGTCGAAAATAGGCAGTAAAGAAAATGGCAAACAAAGACTTTTAAACATTTCAAGCAACTGAGTCAGAGACACTCCTGGACACAGACAGGAACAAAATTGCTTGGCTGAAGATTAGAGCCATCAAAATCGCACGAAATGATCCACGCATTCAAATCAAATACAGTTTTGATGGACTGCCAGTTTTTCTGGAACTTCTGAAGAAAGGAAGACGGAGCTCAGATATACCACAACATACTGAGTTCCAGTCCCTGGAACCAATAAGCATTGATGAAGATAAATTTCATGATTTGATGAAAATGTGCAAGTAAAGAATCATTCCAGTAGCTCATCATGAGTACTGCAGCAGCCTACCACACATATAAAGTTATCCCCTACATTCACAAAGACCATACAAGCCCATAGTATTAGTATGTGCTATTTACGTTTTCGTAGGAGATTTGTGTGAGATACATCACACTTTAGCAATAATCAGTACGTTCCCTTCGATAAGTTTTTAACAATGGTTATTGTGGTTGATGCTCTGTCGGCACATAATTATAATAATCAATTCGGTCCGGTGATCTTTCTTTTTTTTTTTTGGTCAGATGATGTTCTATTGATTCCATTATCAAATGAGTGGTTCCAACATGTATATATGTAGATTTTATGCAAGAAAGCATGGATGTGTATTTCTTATTCTACATGTGTTCACAGAGACCGTAGGCACACATAGTAATCTGGTGTAAAAGCAAAATTTTAATGGCCTGGATATTGTTTTAATGGTGTTAAAATGTCATGGCTCATGAATACCTTTTCTCTGTCGAGAGCATAATCATGACGTAGTAGGATGGACTATTATTTCAGTATGTCTTACTTTGGTTGTTTTGAAACAATTTAATTTATGTGTAAATTAAATTTTTTTCTTTATGCTCTTTTGGTTTCACTGTCATAAAAGTGATTCTGACATGCCAGAAAGTATAGAACAGTTCGATAAAATCCTTCAAAACAATGAAAACTGTCTGCGAAAATTTTGAGACAATAAAACATCGTTTTGTCTAAATATCTCATGTAATTGAAAGCTTTGATAAGCCCATTGTGTTTAGAGGTACTCTTTGTTTGACGTAGTATCTCAAGTACGACTTCAAGATAGTTGTGCACGACACTCAGAAAAAGTGACAGAAGACTAGTATCTTAAATCGTAGTTAAAATACTTGTGTACTTAAAAGTTGTGGTGTTCAAGTATCTTAATTAGCAGCTATTAAGAAACAGCTGACCACACCAAATGATCTATAGCTCCTATCAGTGTGCAAAAACATTTTGTTTTACATTCTTAGCGTCAAAAAGATTACGCTTAAAATCTCCTAGAAAATTCAGTTTTTTGTCTCTGCTGTAACATTTCAGAAAATGGACTTGAGATACTCCAAGTCCAAGGTCGATACATGCACGTCAGTAATCGGCACCTTTTGGTTGCGTCTCAAAGACAAATACTTTAGGTTATTACTTAAAAAATTTATTTGAAAATCAGTATTTTTTTGCTTTTTGCCAGTCTAGTCGTCTTTAAGTACGGCTAGCCACTTATCATCATAAGAAAGAATGGTATTATTGTACGCATGGGCCCGTCTCACGTTATACTAAAGCACTCTTGTTGCTCATTTCTATCTGCTTAACACGAATTTTGACTTTATATCCACTGCAAATTATTATTTTATGAGATCTATGGAGATCATATATATATATGATATATTAACCATCAATACAATATCCTGACCATTAATTGCGTAGTAATTTTCTTCTTTTTAATATCATGCAACCCCCCCCCCCTTCCCCCTTTGTATGTCACCATACCTTATGTTTTTATACCTCTTGAAAACAATTTGTTTGTGAGGGTTTTAATGGCCTTATAGGCCTATGTGTTCTTTAGTTTAGTTTTATTCGAGTTTTTACGGCGCTCGCAACTGCATAAGGTCATATGAGGACCAAGTGGTGGATATTATGTCAGTCGAAGTCCATACAGGGAATCAGGCTTACTCTGCTCACATCTGACTTCAACAGCACAAAGTCTGCTTTGACTATCAAGGCACCCCGGAAATAGTGGGTCACAAGAGTGTGACAACATACAAAAGAAGTAGAAGAAAAATGACGATAGTAAAGATTAGGAAAGAAAAAGCAGCATTTCCTTTTGCAGTTGAAGCACAGTTATGAGCTTGACATTGATGAATCAGCCCATTTACAATTCTACAGTGCACAAGAACATGTTAATGTCCCCCCTTTGAGAATGGTCTAAAGACATTTCAGTCAGTAGCACCGCCCCGGGGGTTTCTATGTGTTCTGCGGCAAAAATTACGGCTGTTTAGCCTCCCAAACAGTGCCTGCGTGCGAAATGAATGAATGAATGAATGAATGAATGAATGAATGAATGAATGAATGAATGAATGAATGATGTGAAAACCAGAGTAGCAGGGTTATCAAAACTGCCAAAGGATAACTTAAATCTAATGATTGCTGCATTTCACCCCCATTGTTTTTGTTTTTTTTGTTTTTTTTTGTAATAAATAGTTTTCCATGTTTTATACCCTCTGTAGAAGGTCATCTATTCTAGCCACAACTACTTTTTATTTTCATTCGATTCAGACACAGGAAAAACTCATCTGTTTTGGAACGATCAGGTCGAGGTGTAACGAGGTTTTATGTTATGGTTTCCGCTCAGTTCAGGGGTCTGTCAGACATTATGCAGCACATCATTCAAAATCGGAGAAAAATTGCAGGGGTTTTAGCTTTCGGTCCTGTACTTTCTAACCAGGTGCCTTTACATCAGACTTTATTTGCTCTATCAGAGCTTTTGTTTAATAGTCCCCATAATAATAGCCCAACTTAATAACTTATTAGTGCTGTTAATATTTTTAAAAAAATTCCCACTTGTTCCCACTTGTTATATTATTATTATAGGCTTACATTATGTAGCCTATGTGTTTACCCCTCAACCAAGATGAGAACGATGACCTTTACAATGATAACAACAATAACAATAATGATGATTATGATAACAGTAGTAATGTCGTCGTAGACGACGACGACGACGACGACGACGACGACGAAGAAACGATACGTTTAAGACAGTAATGAGTGAACTTTCACGTTAGTCAATGTTTTGTAGGTAAAAGATGGTACATTTGTATTGACTTTCATTAATTGATTGTTTCAATATAATATCATTTATCAATTGTTTTATTGTCAAGGATTTTTAAAAACTGTCATTCAACTTGTAAAAACAGAAAAAACAAACAAACAAGCAAACAACAAACAACAACAACAACAAAATGTACGCCTTCTTTTAAATCGAATTAGTCGTATTGCAGACAAAAGTGTTGTTTCTGACCACTATTTTTTCTCTCCAGACGAAGCAATTGTTGAGGAGATTAATATGAGGAAAGTCAGAACTATCATGCATAAATAGAATGAAGAAGTAGGTAAGCTACAGTTCTCAAAGATTCTGGGAGCCGAAAAGAAGAAAGATGAAGAAAGGAAATTCTTTTAAAAATGTGGTTTCAAAGGGCATCGGTTTTAACGATTGTCTTATACAAAATAAAGCTCACATAGTTTTTAGTCTTCAAGAATTTCGAAACCTCATTTCACGTAGGCCTACTGCAAGCACAGAATTTGCCTCCCAAGGAACATAAATCGTAACTGATATAATATTACATATTATGAGTCCTTTGTATAATTTTTCTAAATGGAATAAAGTTGCCAGTATGCGGAAAGGGAGAGGGGGGAGGGAAAAAAGGGGAGGGGGTGGTGGGTAATTTACATATTTACAGAGCAGTTCATAAACATTTAATAATTTTACAAAATGTCAAAACATGAGCACAGTTGACATGTAGGTTTATAACAATAGCCTCCTGGGAAAAACCCAACTAATAACAATTAACAAACTCAAAAACAATAGCCATTTGAGATATAAATCATAAATAACAAAATATTACCCTATTATTAAAGATCGGAACCAAAGCAAATTTCATTTGATGCTGACATTCCGCTACCTTAAAATGACAAAGTTCTATCTGACGTTTTTGGCTGTTTTGAGTTACTAAGACTATGAGATCAGAGATCAAATAAATAATTTATTCTCTTTGCTCTACCAACATTGTAAGATTATTAGGAGTAGTCATCAAGATATTCAAAGAATCGGTTCGAAAGAGCTTGACTTGTGAAACTCAAACTTTCCTACATAAAATTCTCAAGACTAGACTGACCAGATAGAACTTTGTAAATTCTAAAGTAGCGACCATTCGTTCTACGGGCTTAAATGCCAGCTTTAGCCCATAATATCTAGTGAGACACTGGCAAGACACGTCCAGCGTGGAACATTGCAACATATAAAATCAATTTGCCATTCAAAGAACAGTCAGTCACTTATTATACGATCATTACATAGATCAAGTAAAAATCTGTCCCAGTGGTTTTATGCACCCCGCATAATTTAGGAAAATTTGATCATTTTTTGGGGGCATAATTTCTGATTATTTTCCTTTATCATTCTTTGTTAAAATTCATTGAATCGCATAATTTCACATTTTTGGGCTCATTTTGTATAATTCCAAAATTTTTCATGCATAAAACGACGGGGACAGAAAAATAGACGAATTGGCAAAATTGATAATAATGTATGATATTGTTTTAAAGTGTGTGTGTGTGTGTGTGTGTGTGTGTGTGTGTGTGTGTGTGTGTGTGTGTTTATGTGTGAGTGTTTTAAAGAAATAATAAATACTGGAAGAAATATACAATAGTTTAGTTCAATGCTGTACCTCCGTGTTGCTTTTGCTTCTGCTTCTGGCTGCTCCTGCTGTTGGTTCTTCTTTTGCTACTGTCGTTTCTGTTGCTTTAATTATTGTTGACGATGTTTTGCTGTAATAGCTGCTGCTGCTGCTGCTGCTGCTGCTGCTGCTGTTGTTATTGTTAAGATGATGGTTTAATGTAATGGTTTAGGAGGGTGTCATTTTTACAACTTGTTGGCCAGTTACAAACTCACCAAGTATAAAAAATAACAACAAAACAACAACGTTCTGTTATAATTTTCTTTTTTCCCCTACACCCTTCCCTTTTCTGGCGCCCAACTTGTCCTTGTTCTGACACACACAGTCGTGAGCTCTCAACATCTCCTCCAGCACCTCCCTCTCCTCCCGCAGACGCTCTACCTCAGTCTTGACACGGCTCTGTTTGTCCTCGAGGCGAGTCACCTGCTGGAAAAGAATAATTGTAAAAAAGAAAGTAAAGTCAAACCTGTTGTAACGACCACGTGTATGAGACAATCACCTGTACAAACGGCCACTTTCCATTTCACTCATAAGGAGCTTAATGAGCACTCATGTATTGTAGCTAAACATTTTTAGAAACTCTTCTTCATGAAGATGAAGACAAATCATTGAATAATGATATATAATATTATTTTACAGCAAAGATATTTATCACAATGGTTGTTATGTTACTGTGTGATTGTGTCTAAGAATCAACCAAACCTGCATAATATCAGTCTGAGATATCGTTCTCTACAAAGACCTGAATTTTAACACAAGATTCCACTCAAATATTTGCCGGATGGAACACAGCCCACACCCTCTACGCCCACGACTCGATCCAACGGATCTTACTGATAAGAACGGTTATCTTTGACTACCAGTTCAAAATTCTGGGAGTGGGATTGTTTGCGTGAACCAGTCAAAATGTTGCATGACGATGCAATGGTTCAGTCGGCGATAAAAGAACACTAAGATGTCTGAGCTGATTCGGTAGAAGATTATAACTAGAAGGGGCTAGATTTGATGATTTGACCCAGCTGTCGTTTTTATGTTCTACAGAGGCAGTAGAGACAACCCTAATATTTCGGCATCCACAAATACATTTTAGCATTCAATTTTATGTACAAGATGTATTTATCCTTTGGATTTCAGAGAAGTCAGTTATAACTTTTTAGCTATCATAAGTACATTTTACTACCAATGGACTGTATATATATATATTTTTAAAAAATAGTTAAATTGGTTTTTCTTTAAATGGCTTATGCGACGCCAAGATGATGATGATGGTGATGGTGTCTCACCTTCGAGAGCGTTTCAATTTTGGTTCGCTGTCGATGCCGACATTTCTGGGCTGCTAGTCTGTTTTTCTCCCGTTTAGCCAGCCTTGTTTCTTCAGTTTCCTCCTCAGTTTTCTTCTTTTTCACCCTCGGCTCCTCTTCTTCTTCCTCATACTTCAACTCTTCCTCTTCCTCTTCATCTTCCTCTTCTTCGTCAGAATCCGTGAATGCTCCGAAAGGAACCGATTCCTGAAACAAGCACCAAGGCTCATGAGTATTAAAAGGAACACGCAGTGATTAATTAATCCTAAATACTTGTTTTCTAAAAAGATTGTGCAACTTGAACAAGACAGACACCAGCTATACTCTGTAAGAGTAACAATAATTAAAATTCCAGATTTAAAGAAAAAATCAATAGTGTTAAATGATAAAAAGTATATTGATATTAAGAGTACAAGAGGCTCAGAATCCGGATATACCGTTAAAGCATAAAGAAAATTGTGGATTCAGTGGGTTTTGTCATACATGCTTTATATTATCTCAAAAGACTTCTGGGTGAAGTTTGATTGTTTCATTTGGAAGAGAATGTGTAATTTACCTTGATACCATGCAATCTGGGGCATTCAAGCATAAAAAAACAAAAAAATTGTTTTAAAAGAAATTGGCAAGTAGATATTAAATAAATTAAGCTAATAAACGCACGAACAATAAATAAATAAATGAATGAAAGAATGAATAAAGGAATAAATGAATAAATAAATACATAAACAAATAAATAAATAAATAAATAAATAAATAAATAAATAAATAGATAAAATAAGTAAATAAATAAATAATGCTCAAGAACAGAAAAATAAATACATGAATAAAGAAGTAAGAAAACCATATTAGATGAATGAATGAATAAATAAATGAATAAGTGACAAATATCTTTTTTCAGGCTTACAGAATCGTTCTCTGCTGATGTGGAGGGTCGGGATGGATGAGTTGTTCTGCGAGATGAGCTGGTCCCGGAAACTGCTGCTTCTTTTCCCTGTATGGACTGAGGAGAAGTCATAGCCTTATCCATTGGCGTTGTGCTTGTCATCAGTTTTGATCTCAGAGATGCCTTCACTGAGACATATCTGCTGGAAGATTCCTCACCCGCTCCTTCTCCCTCTGTCACAGATGAGGAGGCAACAGAGAAAGTGCTGCTGATGTCAGAGTCGGCGAAGCTTACGTTACTCGATTCTGAGAGGCCGCGCGTTATTTGAGAGGGAGACTGGGAAGGAGTTGACAAAGGTGTGGTCAGAGGTTGCTTTTTCCCCAACTTTTCTGTAGCTCCGGGCAGCAGTTTTAGGACATCGCTGGGACTCAAAATGGCGTCTGATGAAAATTCCAAAGGAGGTTTTGGTCGAATTGTGGAGGCAACAGAGAACAAAGATGCCCCGGCGCTCACCAGCTGCTTAGAGATACTGGAAGTCAATGAGCACGCGGAGGGGGTGGTGGAAATGACAGAGGATACTGTTTCTGCAGATTTTTCCGTTTCGGAGTGTGTGCCTGTTGCCAACGTCTCACTGAACAGTGACCAACTATCTACACCCCCTTTGAGGTTTTCAGCGCTCCAGTGTTCATGTGGAGTAGACATCTGTCTTTGTACTGGACTGTGATTAGTTTGGAGAGTACTTAACGAAGCTGGTCTCTTTAGACACGTAGTACTAACTTTCGAACCTACCTCAACGACTTGCAGTTTCTGAAGATTAGTTTGAAAGTCTGTGCCATAATGCGCATTGCGGCTATGTTCCGAATTAGAAACATCTCGTCTGTGCTTGGTCGAAACATTAGCAAAAGAGTAAGGAGACAAGTTATTTGCGGTACAGGAAGGAGGTTCTTTCATATTTTGCTCTGAAAGAGAGAGTTCGTGAATGAAACGATTTTGTAAAGCATCCATCGGTGTGTCATAAAGAATGTCTAAGTTGCCTACCGTTCCTGCCACCTCGTTTTCTTCCACAAAATTGTTTTCTATTTCTTCTCCATCATTCCCTGTCACAAAGTCGGTATCCAAGTCCCAAGTCACCGTGGGCGTTGAGTCTGAAAATGTGGGTTGTTCTGTATGAGATTCGCCTAACGTAGAGGGCTGGCAGTTCACAATATTGGTACAATTTAGAATACTTTGAGCAAGTGAAAAATAGTTATAAGAGGAAGATTCGGGTGAAATAAAGTTGGGAGTTTCCTGACTTGTAGAACTGCTTGAGATTAGTTCAATGGCACCTTGAGGCAGATCGCTTGTTGTACTTATCACTAAGTCCAGAGTGCCACGATACGCACCAATAGCGGGTTGCATTGTCGGCTCTTGGTATGAGTTCTGGGAGAAACTGTTTGATGTTTTCGGTTGGGAAACTGGACATGTGTCTGCCATTGTTGTGGCACTGTCAATGAAGGCGTCTGTTATGTCTACATAAGATTGATTTGTTGTCGGGTCAAATTCTTTCTCTGAGAATGAAGCGAAATGAAACCTATCGTCCGAAGCACTGTCTAACATAGGGAGTGTTGAAGTAATAGGAGCGGTATAATTTGCTTCGGGAGCAGCAGATGAGGAAAGACAGATGTTTTGAGAGGCCATTGAGCCTGTATCCAAAACAGTGCCATCAACGTGAGGTAACAAAATATCGGGTGTACTGGCTGATTGTTCAAACGATGGGAACGAAGGCTGGATATGATCTAAATCGAAACTGACATCTGTCTGCGCTGGGGCAGGGTTGCTATGATGTGTAGACGATGCGCTAAAGACACGAGGAGTCTTGGGGAAGTCCCCAACAGAAGTATTATCGTTTGCACCTGTGATAAAAGCGTGTATTATTGGGTCTGTACAAGAACTCACTAGATTTGTGAAGGACGAGTCTTGTTGAGACAACGAATACTCATGGTCGTTGTGTGAAAATGTATAATTCTTCAGATAGTCAGACGCATTCACTTGATTTCCAATATAACTTTGAACCGACTCCTCTTTGAAAGAATCACCTGCGCTAGTGCTGATGGTTGCTTCTCTGGGATTACTGAAAGTGGACGGGGGGTAAACGTCATGTTCCTGGTCTTGAGTTGATGGGGTGCTGCTGGTAGGTGTGCACAGATTCTCTAATGATTTGGCTGAAGACATGACACCCGAGGAGTTGCGGTGAACATCCATGTTTGAAGACAGAGGAACAGGCTCCGTTAAACCCAAGCCAAAATCGTAGACCACACTGAGCATCTCTTGCGATGCGATTTCTGACCGAGAAAATGTTGACTGCTGAGTAGCAAAACTAGACGTTTGCACTTCTTCAGCCTCAGGGAAAGAAGAATTCATAGAGAGCACCTCACTTTTTTCAGATGCAAGGGTTGCAGAAGGGGCTGGGATATCAGAAGCTGTTTCTATTTCTTCATTTAATGCTGTTATTTCGATGAGATGTCCTGCCAAGTCCATCATGCTTAATATGTCAGGTCTTTCTGACGTCACAGCGGACATAGTCATACTGCTTGGTTCGTTTAGAACTGAGCTTGGCAAAATTTCCTTGGGTCCTGACATATTGTCCAAAATAACCGAAACGGTGCTGATGTCCTTCATTTCTGTTGGGGAGGGGGGGGGGGGGGGAGAAGAGGAAATATTCGGTGTTAATCTTGATTCCATCTTCACTAATTCGAGCATATCAAAATAGTAATTTGTTTTAATTCATCCATCCATCCATCCATCCATCCATCCATCCATCCACGGCTACTATTTTACTATTGTTATCTATTTAAATATTTTATTGTAAGTAAGAAAAAATTTATTTAAAAAAAAAATACGATCGACTATAGGCGAGTTAATGTCGTCGATGGAGGGAAAAAAAAAATCAACTCATCCGAAGTTCAACTTAACCATTGGGATCTGTATATATATAGAAACTGGTGCTGGGGCCCGAGAAAAAATTTAACATAAATGAAGATCAACTCAAGCGAGTTCAAAACAAGTCAAGTCGGCTATAGATTTACCTGGCTTATTTATCAGATAAATAAAAATGAAAAAATAAAAGATCAATAAAGAAAGAAAGAAAGAAAGAAAGAAAGAAAGAAAGAAAGAAAGAAAGAAAGAAACGAACGAACGAACGAACGGACAGACAAATGAATGAATGAATGAATGAATGAATGAATGAATGAGTGAATGAATGAATGAATGAATGAATGAATGAATGAATGAATGAATGAATGAATCCTTTGTGCTTGTAACTTTTTTACTGGTAGGGTCACCTCAAACATACCGATAAATAAATCAATAAATGAATATATTTTTTGTTGAAAAAATGGTGTTTTTTTAATCAGAAAAATTAAGGGCCCAAAATCCATCAGTATGTTTGTCATAACCTAAATAATTCAAGGGGGGAATGAGGATATCAGAGAAAATATTCAGCCTCTATGAAAACGTAAAAGCAGAAAGGTAAATAATATAAGAATAAGATTAAAATTCTTCTGCCAAGGATAGCGTTACCTAAAAGTACGGAAGAAAAAAGGTGACAGATAGTTGACGAGGGAGAAGGAACGATGGACGTTATGACAATAAATAAATAAATAAATAAGTAAATAAATAAATAAATGAACGAATGAACGAATGAGCGAACGAATGAGTAGGCCTAAATAAAGAAATAGATAAATAAGTAAATAAATAGATAAATAAATAAATAAATAGATAAATAAATAAATAAATAAATAAATAAATAAATAAATAAATACATTACCCCTCCGCAAAGAAATAAAGAGAATCAGAAGAATTGCTGCCAATGTTAATGTAACTAAAAAGAATGTAAGAAACAAAGTGACAGATAGTTGACGAAGGGCGAGGAAAGATGCACGTTGTGACAATAAAAATAAATAAATAAATAAATAAATAAATGAATAAATGAATGAATGAATGAATGAATGAATGAATGAATGAATGAATGAATGAATGAATGAATGAATGAATGAATGAATGAATGAATAAACAAAACAAAAACAAAACAAAAACCCAAAGAAGCAAATTAATTTTAAAAAATAAATAAACAGATAAACACAAAAATAATAAAAAATCTTATATAGAAAATGAGTAAACAAACATATGAACAAACAAACAAACAAACAAAGAAATAACTAACTAACGAAATAACTAAGTAACTAACCAAACAACTAACACTAACTAACTGACTAACAAGAAACAATTCTATCTTAACAAATTTCAAAATGTAAACTCCTGCAAGGAACTTTTTCGATTATCTGATCAATTATTGGGAAGGGAGAATTGTACACGGTTTCCACCTGGAACTGATAAAGAACTTTGTTGTAATTTTCTGCACTTTTTCAATGATAAAATTGAAAGAATAAGAACTGATTTAGACTCTGATATGTTAGATGTAAATACAAATATAGTTGTTGATGAAAATCTTGCAATTATGAACAAATCAACATTGAGTGAATTTAAAGTGGTATCAGAGAAAGATGTCATTAAGTATTTCAAAGAGTCCCCCGCTAAAACATGCGACTTAGACCCAATACCCACTTCATTGTTAGTTACGTGCATCGAAGATCTCGCACCATATCTTACTCGTTTTATTAATATGTCACTCACCACTGGAATCGTACCTGATCTTTTCAAACAAGCCATTGTAAAACCTTTACTTAAAAAACAAGGTCTTGATGAAAACAACATGAGAAATTTTAGGCCAGTTTCCAATCTAAACTTTTTATAAAAAATCCTGGAGAAAATCGTTTTGTGTCAAGTTCAACAACATCTAAAGGCCAATGACATGGAAGAACCTTTTCAATCTGCTTATAAAAGGCACCACAGTACGGAAACCGCTCTTTTAAAGGTATCATCAGATGTTTTAAATGAAATCGATAATAAAAAAGTCTGTGTTTTGGTTCTGCTTGATTTGTCAGCGGCGTTCGATACCATCGACCACGAAATTTTACTAGAGAGATTGGAAAAGTCATTTTTACTATCAGGTACTGTTCTAATGTGGTTTAAATCATATCTAGACAATAGATTTATGTCAGTGAAAATTGGCAATGATGTGTCAGATAGGTTACCTATAAAATACGGAGTTCCTCAGGGTTCGGTCCTTGGTCCTGTCATCTTTACAATGTACACGCAAAGTCTGTCATCAATAATTTTTATATATGCCCTCAATTACCATCTTTATGCAGACGATACACAGCTGTATGGATTCACTACAACTGACAATGTACACAATCTCATAGATAGAATCGCCAGATGTATCAATGATATAAGAAAATGGATGTTCAAGAACAAATTAAAATTAAATGAGGATAAGACCGAAATATCATTTCTTCGTAGCAGCGCATGCAATGAAATCGACAATATCAGAATAAACATCAATGTCCACGAAATATCAGCCCAAACTAAAATAAGAAATTTAGGTTTGGTGCTAGATCAAGATATGTCAATGAAATACCATGTATCCAATCTTTGTAAAAATCTATATCTCCAGCTGAAGAAAATAGGGAGCATTAGAAAATATCTATCTGTTGGTGTCACCAAAACTTTAATAACATCACTTATATTGTCAAGGATTGATTATTGCAATTCCTTACTGGCTGGTGTACCTGATGAACAGTTACAACAACTACAAAGAGTACAAAATATTGCTGCCAAAATAATTACTAAAAAACTAAATCATGATCATGTGACTCCTATTTTAAAAGCATTACACTGGCTCCCAGTGAAAGAGCGTATCATATATAAAATCTGTTTAACTTGCTACAAGTGCTTAAATGATTTATCACCGGACTATCTAAAACAGTTTTAACACCCTATGTGCCTCCTAGAACGCTCAGATCATCTAGTGACAAAACAACCCTTGTTAAGCCTAAAATAAATTTCAAATCATATGGCCAACGCTCTTTTTCATATTTTGCCCCACTTGTTTGGAATAGGCTTCCAAAAACTATCAGAGAAGCAGAAAATCTAGAAATTTTTAAGAAGAAACTAAAATCATTTCTATTTTCATCATATTTCGATTAGACAGAATGCATCCAAGCTGTAGATCGTTGTGAGTTTGTATGTGCGTATGTGCATATGTATGTATGTGTGTATGTGAGTATGTATATGTGTGTGGTGCGTGCGTGAGTGAATATGTGTTTGCATGATATGAGTATGCAACACTATGTATCTTTAAAATTGATTTGTAAATCCATTATATGTATCATGTTAAGCGCATAGAGCATTGCATAAGTGGATATGCGCTATATAAATGCAATCCATTATTATTAACTAACTAACTAACTGACTTACTAACGAACTGACGAAATAACTAACTACTTAATTAAGTAACTAACTAACCAACCAACTAACTAAGTAATTAACTAACCAACCAACTAACAAAGTAACTAACTAAGTAACTAACAAAGTAACTAACAAAGTAACTAACTAACTAACTAACTAACTAACTAACTAACTAACTAACTAACTAACTAACTAACTAACTAACTAACTAACTAACTAACTAACTATAGTGCGGTTAAAAATTCGTGGCGGCAACGTTTTATGAAATGTTTAATACTTCCTAAATTATCGAACATAAAACTCCAGTTTTTGCACAATGATGTTTATCAATTTGTCTTAACTGACAATTTTTTTCTAAGCACCTCTGTCAGTTGTATTCTAGAAAATTCCTTAATAAATACTAATTAAAAATCCAAGTGAGAGATTTCTACAGATAAAAAAAACAAACCCATTCAGTTGGGGGCAATATTGCTTTTAAAAACTATAAGTCGGTCATATTTTTATTTCTAATCGCGACATTATGCTTATTGAACACATTTTTGGAGAACCTTTAGTGCAAAAATGTGTTCACTAGGAATTTAATTTCTTGAAACACGTTTTGCCACTAAAAAGTATCATTCGTGAGCTGTGACGTAGGCCATATATGGTTTGCAATGTGTGTAAGAAGCGTGGAGTGCTGAGAACAACCCCGTTTTTTGAGCGACAGAGATTTTTAGTTCAATAATTATGGAAAAGCATAATTTATGTATTAACATATTGATACAAACTGCTGCGCAAAGTATGGGGATATTGGTTCACATTTGAGAAAAAGTTGCGTCATGAATTAAGAACACATTATAACTAACTAACTAACTAACTTACTAACTAACTAACTAACTGACGGACCTACTGACTGACTAACTGACTGAATGAATGAATGAATGAATGAATGAATGAATGAATGAATGAATGAATGGATGAATGAATGAATGAATGAATGAATGAATGAATGAATGAATGAATGAATGAATGAATGAATGATGTTCCTTTTACTTTTATTTTTTCTTCTGGTCGGGTTAAATACAAGACAAATAAAAAATACATGTATACATCTGTGTGTGTGTGTGTGTGTGCATGTGTGTGTGTGTGTGTGTGTGTGTGTGTGTGTGTGTGTGTGTGTGTGTGTGTGTGTGTGTGTGTGTGTGTGTGTGTGTGTGTGTGTGTGTGTGTGTGTGTGCGTGTGTGTGTGCGTGTGCGTGTGTGTTTGTGTGTGCGTGTGTGTTTGTGTGTGCGTGTGTGTTTGTGTGTGCGTGTGTGTTTGTGTGTG